AACCGGCCGGAGACAGTTGGTTTCTTCCCTCTGGCCGTGGAAACCTATGGCTGTCCTTGCGCCGAGGTACCGGTCTTCCTGAAACTCTTAGCAGACACTGCGGCTCGGCGCCACTTCAACGCCGACTCCAAATCATTCATGCCGCCATGTTTCTGCACCAGTTCAGACAGAGATGGTCCGTGGCCCTGCAGAGAGCCCAATCTGTGGGCCTGACTCAAGCTGGGCGAGGCAGCGATAGCAGAGAACCCGCCCGTGGGCGGAGTTGAACCTTGGGGACTGTTTTGCAGTGGTCGAGCCCTTCCTAGAGCTCTAGAGTGATAGTTCGTAGGATCTGTTGCTGTGTTTGTTAGTTGCTTTTGTTTCTATGACCTGCATGCTTGTATTCCGCGGTTATATCAATACAAGGACCATTAGAGAGAGAGAGAGAGAGAGAGAGAGAGAGAGAGAGAGAGAGAGAGAGAGAGGATCCTAATACACGGACCGCTTGAGAGAGAGAGAGAGGATCCTAGCCTCTGCCCTCTCCCTTTGCCCTCTGCCCTCTCCCTTCTGAGCTATATAAGGAGCCTTTCAGGGCCTCTTCTCTTCATTATTCTGTTTGGTGGCAGAAAATTTTGCAGCTTCGTTCGAGAGAGCGAGAGAGAGAGAGAGAGAGAGAGAGAGAGAGAGAGAGAGAGAGAGAGAGAGAGAGAGAGAGAGAGAGAGAGGATCCTAGCCTCTGCTCTCTCCCTTTGCCCTCTGCCCTCTCCCTTTGCCCTCTACCCTCTCCCTTCTGAGCTATATAAGGGGCCTTTCAGGGCCTCTTCTCTTCATTATTCTGTTTGGTGGCAGAAAATTTTGCAGCTTCGTTCGAGAGAGCGAGAGAGAGAGAGAGAGGATCCTAGCCTCTGCCCTCTCCCTTTGCCCTCTGCCCTCTCCCTTCTGAGCTATATAAGGGGCCTTTCAGGGCCTCTTCTCTTCATTATTCTTCCGCCAATTCTCGCCTGAACAATTGGCCAAGGACTTGGTGCGGTTCGGTGAAGTGGAAAATTGGGACCTATCCCCCCTACGCGACAGTCGTCAGCCCCCATTGTCGCGTAAACTCCCCGCTGACATTCGCCCACTTTTCGCAACTGCTCTCCAAACACCACTCCTCCACCTCGCGCGAAACCCAGAGTCAGTCGCAGGCTGGCGCCTGTTACTTTTTATCCCGCGTCTCACCCTTCGCCTCCCGTCAACCGAGAAGCCCGATTGGCCGGCAGTCAAGCAACGACTTCGCCAATTCAACAAGGGCGAATGGCAGCAGCTGTACGCCGCGGCGGTTACCGCAATTACCGGACCCCACCCGCCTCGTCATACGCCAGATGCCATAGGCAAACGAGCCAGGGCAGAAGGCCTTGCACGAAAAGGCAGCCTTCGCAGGGCGATCCTCGCCCTTGAGTCAACGCCGGTCGCTGACCCATCTGCAACCATCCTCGCCGCTCTCAAGGCAAAACACCCCCCCGCGCCACCTGGAACCATCGATTGGAGCATCCCCGATTCTGTACAGGCTGCTTCGACAGAAAAGGGGGACTTCATTAAAATGTTGTGTCGCTGTGAGAACGGGGTGGGAGGAGGACCATCGGGTATGACATTTGAACACCTCCGCGACGCATCACTCGCCAATGCTGGGGTTACCACACACCTCCACGCCCTCGTCAACACTATCCTGCAAGGCAAGCTGCCTGAAGAGATTTGCTCGTTACTAACTGCTAGCCGCCTCATAGCTCTAGCAAAGCCAGACGGAGGCACTAGACCCATCGCGGTAGGCGAATGTATCCTACGGTTAGCAGCTAAGTCCGCCCTCTCAGCCCTCTCTCACAAATGCCGCACGCACTTCCTCCCGCTACAATACTGCGTGTCCGTCCAAGGCGGCAGCGAGGCGATAATCCACGCTGCGAGAGCCTTCACTAGCGCAAACCCGGACGCGCTTATCCTGCAAGCGGACCTGGCTAATGCGTTTAACTCCATTAGCCGCGCAGCAATAGTCGGCGCACTTCGCGACACAGACCTCCAGGGCCTCCTTCCCCTCGTCAAAATATCCTATAGCCGACCAGCCCAGTTGTTCCTTAACGCGGGATTCGGTTGTGAGGCCCTGGCTAGCGAGACGGGTGTGCGACAAGGCGATCCGCTAGGCCCACTACAGTTTGCCGCGGGGATCCACCCTATCCTTTCCAGGACAGCAGCAGCCTACCCATCCGTCCTGTGCCTCGCATTCGCCGACGACGTCACATTTCTGGGCCCGGTTGCGGATTGTTCTGACGCCTTCCGTCACTTCACGACGGGATTGCGCGATGTGGGACTGACCCACAACCCAGAGAAGTGCGCCGCATGGAGTGCAGCAGCCACAGATCCCCAGCAGCTGCCCGAGGGTGTCCCGCTCCACGCGGAGGGATTGCGGGTGCTTGGGAGCTTCATAGGCTCAACAGACGGTGCAGCGGCCTTTCTACGGTCACAGCTAGAGACAATGTCGTCCCCACTGCCCCACATAGCCACCATGGACCCACAAGTAGTGGCGCTGCTTCTAACGCGGTGTATCTCCAGGCGCATCTCGTACCTAGCATGCACCACACCTCTTTACCTGCTACCCGAAGCTGAGTGGTCAAGGTGGGGGCGGGCACTGCTGTACACGCTTCTAGATGCTTGCGGAGTGCGCCACCCGAGGGGCGAGGCAGAGGACGGACGGATCTGGGACCAAGCCTCACTCCCTCCAAGCCTAGGCGGCCTGGGGCTTGCCGACCCTACAGTGGAGGGCCGATACAGTTTTCTGGCGAGTCTCGTGCAGGCACACTCACTCCTCAGCCAGTTGGGGGGACAGGCAGGGGCCACACTGACAGCAGCACTCGACACCCCCGCAGCAGCTGATCGCAGCCCCATTGAACTGCAGCAGTGGATCAGGGACTGCAGGGACAGCCTCTCGCAGGAGGCGAGGGATCTTATCTCGGCAGAGCAGACAAAACCCAAGGGCCAGCTGCAACACCGCTTGGCACTCCTAGTCCAAGGGGGCCGGAGTGCCGCCCAGATCACAGCATCCAGGCAGATGGAGCTGAACCCTGCTGGGCCACACCCAGCGCCTCATGTCCCTCACGGGCTATGGGGCGGGGGACTGGCTCATGGCAATCCCCTACATGCCTTCACTGCGCCTATACCCCTGCCACTTCACATTCGCCCTCCAGTTCAGGCTAGGCATGCCACTCTCTGTACCAGATTGCTGTGACTGCAACAAACGAGTCCCCATCCTGGACAAAAGGTTGCCGAACCACTTGCTCCGGTGTGGCACTGGGCATGGCCGGACCAACACCCACGACGAGCTGCGGGATGAATGCATCCGCATGGCGCAGGACGCGGGGTTTTCCGTGCACAAGGAGTGCACTGCCTTCAGCCCGGTGGATAACAAGAAGGCTGACCTGGCAATTAGGGACGGGAGCTCGGGAGCGGTGTGGCTGGCTGACGTTACAATAACAGACCCCATCAGCAAACGGGACGAGACTGCAAGGAAGGGGAGGGGCTGGGCAGCACGGGAGGTAGCAGACAAGAAGATAGGCCTCTACCTCGGCAGGGCAGAGTTTGCAGGGTTTGTCCCCTTGGCAGTTGAGACCTACGGCTGCCCCTGCGACGAGGTACCTACCTTCATGAAGCTGCTGGCGGACAAAGCTGCACGGAGAATCTTCAATGCGGACCCATCTACCTATCAGGCCGCGAAGATGCTCCACCAGTTCCGCCAACGCTGGTCCATTGCCCTCCAGAGAGCCCAAGCAGTGAGCTTCCTCACAAAGCTGAATCTGGCAGCCCGAGCAGAGAACCCCCCATTGGGGGGACCAGAGGGGGAGATGAACCCCGGGGACTGCTTCTCAACACTCGAGGCACCTTAGACATAGGGGGGGGGGGGGGGGGGGGGGGTGGGTGGGTAGGGGTGTGGGGTTGCTTGCTTGCGTGTTTGGTTGCTCCATAGGTTTTGTTTGCTCGTCCTTATGCTAGCTGAAATCTCCCTTAGGATCTGCACGTCTGTACCAGCCCCTGTTATCAATGCAAAGGACCATTAGAGAGAGAGAGAGAGAGAGAGAGAGAGAGAGAGAGAGAGAGAGAGAGAGAGAGAGAGAGAGAGAAAGAGGCATCTAGGCCTCTTCCCTCAGCCTCTCAGCCTTAGTTCCTTAGTATAAAGGCTCTGGCAGCCAGCTAGTTCCTCATTGTTCGGTTTCTGATTCTCCTAACCGAGCGGCAGAGAGAGGAGAGGGAGAGAGAGAGAGAGAGAGAGAGAGAGAGAGAGAGAGAGAGAGAGAGAGAGAGAGAGAAAGAGGCATCTAGGCCTCTTCCCTCAGCCTCTCAGCCTTAGTTCCTTAGTATAAAGGCTCTGGCAGCCAGCTAGTTCCTCATTGTTCGGTTTCTGATTCTCCTAACCGAGCGGCAGAGAGAGGAGAGAGAGAGAGAGAGAGAGAGAGAGAGAGAGAGAGAGAGAGAGAGAGAGAGAGAGAGAGAGAGAGAGAGAGAGAGAGAGAGAGAGAGAGAGAGGCATCTAGGCCTCTTCCCTCAGCCTCTCAGCCTTAGTTCCTTAGTATAAAGGCTCTGGCAGCCAGCTAGTTCCTCATTGTTCGGTTTCTGATTCTCCTAACCGAGCGGCAGAGAGAGGAGAGGGAGAGAGAGAGAGAGAGAGAGAGAGAGAGAGAGAGAGAGAGAGAGAGAGAGAGAGAGAGAGAGAGAGAGAGGCATCTAGGCCTCTTCCCTCAGCCTCTCAGCCTTAGTTCCTTAGTATAAAGGCTCTGGCAGCCAGCTAGTTCCTCATTGTTCGGTTTCTGATTCTCCTAACCGAGCGGCTCGCGCCGGCCGCCTTCGGCGGCCGACACTCGACAGCGCGGCCTTCGGCCGCGCGCGAGGGGGCGGCAAGGAAACATACACACGAGTGACTAAAGGGAGCGGCATACACGCAATGGCATCATCAACAATATCCTAGGCAACCATGGCAACAGCGGGGCAGGCGGAGCCCGGATCTACGTCCGGTGAGCTCCGAGGGCATGGAGAATGCCCGTCAACGTCCGCCACAGCTCACGGACCACCAGCGTACTTGCGCCGATCGCCGCGGCTCCAGATCCTGCGCGCAAGTGTCGCCTCAAACCCCGGACAGCTTCGTCAAGTTGTCCCACAGCCGCAGTGCCACCCTCTGCGGGCGCAGCCAACGCGGGCGCCAGCAGCTGCACGAGCTGGTCTGCCGCGTCCAGGCAAGTCTCGCGCGGCCTGTCACGAAACGAGTCAGCAGGGATCACAGGGAGAGACGCGTAAGCCAGCACCTGAATCAGCAGTAGAGCGTGAAGGCTCTCCGCAAGACAGTGCAACTGTCCGAGTGTCGTTTCAGGTACTCGGGTCTGCGGGGGCTGAAGTGCCACCGCCAGGAATGGAAGCGGCTCATCATCAGCAGGGTAGGGAGTGTGCTGCGCCCCCGCCGCTCCCCCGCCAGCAGCAACGAACTCAACACCAGCCACCGGCGGAACGGGGGGCAGGCGGAGACGAGATCCAGAAGCTGCAAGCGAAGCAGTGGGGGCACAAGGCGATGGGGCAAGAACGGGGGGAGGAAATACAGCCGCGGGTGGAAGGTCCACGGGAGGTACGGCCTGCTGAGGAGCCACATGCGCCGGCGCCGCCCGCAGCGAACTACTCTAGCTCTGCGCCGCCCTCTCCTCGCGCACGGCCCTCGACACCTCCCTTTGAAGATCCGCCATCGTCACACGCGGGCGGAATGCCCCACCACCACCGCGCCCGCGGGGACCCCTCCAGCCCCCATGGCCACCATGGAGGGCAGGCCACTGGGCCTGCTGCTGGTAGCGCCGGGGAGAGTTGCGCCGGCGCCGCGTCGACTCGCGCTCCTGCTGGGGCGCAGGAGAATGGGGGCGGGATGGTCGGCGGTCTGGCGACTGGGGACGAGACGGCTGTAGCACTTGTGCCGCCGGCAGCGTAGCGGGGGCAGGCGGGTCCACGACCGGACGCGCAACCAACGGAGCTGGGCCGCCAGTGGTGGCGAACGCCGCCTTCGGGGACGAAGCAGACGCCGGCGCAGGCACGGCGGGGACAGAAGCGGTCTGTGCAACGGGGGCGCCAGGGGCAGGAGCAGAGGGAACAGCAACCTTCCCAACAGGGGCGGACGCCGCTGGCGCAACGGCGGGAGCAGGAGGACCGGGAGCAGCGGGGGGAGCAGGCGGAGCAGGTGGAGCAACAACAGGGGCAGACGGGCCAGCCTCACTCACGCCAAGGGGATTCGCGGATACGGGGGGAAGAGTATTTTCAGCGTCTGTTGTCACGGGCTTCGGAGCAGACGGCGGCGGGGACCCCGTTACCATGGTCCCCATTCCTGAGGCATACGATGGTCTTCCGAACGCAACCGACGCAGCGCCAACGCGCATTGGCGAGTAATCGGTCACTCCAGCAATCACCATCGCGAGGCCGGGGAGCGCGAGGCGGAGGGCGAGAAGCGACTAGCGGACAAGGAGGAGGGCCGGAGAATGGCTATCAGGCGGAGGCACGAAGGGCTTTAACCAAACTGGATAATGACGATGACGAAAATATTGACCCCTCTTATAGGGAGGAGCCCATGCCAGCAAGCGAGGATGAAGGGACGGAAGGAGAGGAAGGACTAAGGGAGACTGCTGGGAGGATGGGAGCAGGGACAAGGCAACCCCGTGCAGTGCGAGGGGATCCTGCACGCGGACCGTCCGATGCTGATCGTACGGGCGAGCTTCCAACCACACCACCACATGCAAGGACGAACCGCACTGGACGAAATCGGACCGCGACAGACACAGCTGCTGCGCGAGAAAATCTCCAACCTCCCCGCTACTTCACGCCAGAAGAGCTGGCGATACAGGCAGACCGGTTCGCTGACATCGCGAACTGGGATATCCCTGCCCTTTGCGACAGTCGGCAGCCTCTTCTGGCACGACGGTTACCGCCAAATTTGTATCAGTTGTTTTCGCTGGCGTTACTGACCCCGTTACTTCACCTGTCACGAAACCCGGAGTCCGAGGCTGGTTGGCGCCTCCTCCTCTTTCTCCCGCGTCTGACGCTTCGCCAAAAATTGCCACAACGACCGAACTGGCCCCAGATCAAGGCCCGACTCCGAGCCTTCCAACGTGACGAGTGGGTTCAACTGTACAAAGACGCGATTGACGCAGTCAACACACCAGCGCCGCCGTGTCATAAGCCAGATGCTACTGGGGTCATTAGCCAAGCCGAGAGCCTGGCGAAGCGGGGCAGCCTGCGCCGAGCTGTACTGGCGTTGGAGTCAACGCCAGTCTGCACACCGACCCCAGAAATCCTGGCCGAGCTTCGTCGGAAACACCCACCAGCCGAACCAGGGACGACAACGTGGCCACCCACACAAGAGTCAAAGCTGTCAATCAACCACGCGGATTTCGCAAAACTTCTGGGGAGATGCGAGAACGGGGTCGGTGCCGGGCCTTCGGGGACAACTTTTGAACACATGCGCGACGCGGCAATCACGAATGGACGGGTCAGCACCCATCTGCACGCATTGATAAACACCATTTTGGGGGGCAGCCTTCCAGGCCCGGTGGCGGACCTATTGACAGCCTCACGTCTCATAGCCCTGGCCAAACCTGGGGGGGGTGCTCGACCAATTGCCATTGGCGAATGCATCACCCGGCTGACAGCCAAGGCAGCCCTCACAGCTATGGGTGACGCTGCCCGTGACTACTTCCTGCCCCTACAGTACGGGGTGGCTGTGCCAGGGGGGGCCGAGGCAGTCATCCACGTGGCACAGGCGTACCTGGACAAAGAGCCCAGTAGCCTAGTACTGCAGACCGACATCTCAAACGCATTCAACAGTATATCTCGGCAAGCCATCGCAACGGCGTTACATGAGCCCAGTCTATCGCCACTAGTGCCGCTGGTGAAACTGACTTACGGTAACCCGTCCAAGTTGCATCTCGACGCCAATTTCGAATGCGAACCACTGACCAGCGAACGGGGCGTGCGCCAAGGTGACCCACTTGGCCCTTTACTGTTTGCGGCGGGAATACACCCAACGCTTCGTGACACCGCCAAGGCATTCCCCCACGTGCTCTGCCTGGCCTACGCAGACGATGTCACATTTCTTGGAAATGTGACGGACACTGTAGCGGCATTCAATCATTTCACCGAGGGTCTGGCGCAACTGGGGCTGACGCACAACCCGCAAAAATGTGCAGCCTGGAGCAGAGAAGCAGCAGCGAAGGACCAGCTTCCACAGGGAGTGCCTTTTTCCCAGAACGGCATGCGTTTGCTTGGAAGCTTCGTGGGCCCGGACCGCGGGGCATCGCAGTTCCTGTCGGGTCAGCTGCAGGAAATGGCAAAACCTTTACCTTTTCTTGAGGAAGCCGACCCCCAGGTAGCATCACTGTTGCTCACCCGCTGTATCTCAAGGCGGGTGGCATACCTTACCAGGACGACACCGCTCCACCTACTGCCTCACGACACTTGGAGTCAGTGGGGGATGGATTTGCTAACAGCGCTACTGACTACATGCAGCATCCACGTTCCCACCTGCCGCACTGAACAAGCACGCGTCTGGGCGCAGGCGTCACTGCCGTCATCGCTGGGGGGGATAGGCATTACGGACCCTTTAATCGAAGGAGTGTACGGATACGCTGCAAGTTTCACTCAGGCCGCGCTTTTCCCGGCATCACTAAAGGATGTCTCTGATGGTGCGCTGACGCAGGCCCGGGACCACATGCTGCTGCCTACAAACGTCACCACACCTCTCCATGCGTGGCTTTCCGAGTGCGAAGCGGCGTTACCCGTTGACGCACGGGAGATTCTGGAGAAAGAGCGGCTGGAGCGTTCCGACATCAGACTCCAGCATGCCTTGGCGCTGAAGGTACATGGGAGCAGATATGTCGTGCAGGTTGAGGAGGCACGGCAGATGACCCCGAACCCTTTGTACGGCCACACGCAAAGGATGTACTCCCTGACTGGTTACGGGACCGGGGATTGGCTAACGGCTATCCCCGTTGCGGCAAACAGGAGGATAGGGCCCACTCACTTTTCCAATGCCGTACGCTTCCAGCTGGCCCTCCCTTTCTCCACACCGAAAAACTGCGACTGCGCAGACCACACGGCCATCACGGACCCCTGCCTTCCTAACCACCTTCTCCGCTGCGGCACGGGCAAGCACCGCATCAACACCCATAACGAGCTGCGAGACGCATGTATTAGTATGGCCCAGGTGGCGGGATTCATCGTCCATAGCGAGTCAACATCGTAGTGCCCTATCGAGGAACAAACAGCAGACTTTACAATGACCGACAGAAGCAGTGGTGCTGTCTATGTGTGTGATGTCACCATTACGGATCCCATTAGCACCAGAGACCCCGAGGCGCAGAAGGGCAGGGGCTGGGCAGCGCGGGAGCAGGCGGACAAGAAAATCAAGCACTACGCTGCCCGGCCGGAGACTGTGAATTTTTTCCCTCTCGCGGTAGACACGTACGGCTGCCCTTGCGCGGAGGTGCCATTTTTCCTGAAACTCTTGGCGGATACTGCAGCTCGGCGCCACTTCAACGCCGACACCAAATCATTCTATGCTGCAAAGTTCCTACACCAGTTCAGGCAACGTTGGTCGGTGGCCCTTCAACGGGCCCAATCAGTGGGTCTCCTGCTCAAACTAGGGGAGGCTGCAGCAGCAGAGAACCTACTTGTGGGGGGGATAGGGGACGAGTTGCACCTTGGGGACTGCTTTGCAGTCATTGAGCCCCTGGTGGAGTTGTAGAGAGATGTTGTGATACGTGTGCCTTGCTTGTTAGATTACCAATACCTCCGTGACCTGCATGACTGTACTTTGCTGCTATATCAATACACGGACCATTAGAGAGAGAGAGAGAGAGAGAGAGAGAGAGAGAGAGAGAGAGAGAGAGAGAGAGAGAGATTGGGAACGAAGGTGAGAGAGGCAGAAGGGAGAAGAGCAGGCGAGGTGGGCCGCTCGTCCATGCAAATACCGCAGGCGGATCAGCGACCGTCAGATGCTGATCGAACGGGTGGCAATCCAACCCCTGATACACCAGCACGGACGAGCCGCGGTCGACGAAATCGAACCGCCGCTGCCAATACCGCGACGCGCCAAACCATTCTGAACCCCCGTTACTTTTCGCCTGACGAGCTGGCGAGGCGTGAGGACTTGTTCGTGGCCATCGCCGGCTGGGACATTGCAGCACTCTGCGTCAGTCGTCAGCCTTCGATGTCACGGCGTTTACCGCCCAATCTATGCCAGCTATTTTCGCAGGCGCTTCTGACACCGTTACTCCACCTCTCACGAAACTCCGAATCCGAAACGGGTTGGCGCCTGCTGCAGTTTTTCCCTCGCCTAACACTTCGCCAAACCTCGCCACAGCGACCAGACTGGCCGGGGGTCAAGGCCCGGCTCCGAGCCTTCCAGCGTGGGGATGGGAGCAGCTGTACCTGGACACGGTGGATGCGGTCAATACACCCCCACCGCCACGACACCAGCCTGACGCGACCGAGTCATCAGCCGAGCTGAGGGGCTCGCGAAACGTGGCAGTCTACGCCGAGCCGTGCTGGCCCTGGAGTCAACGCCGGTCTGCACCCCCAGCCCGGAAATTTTGGAGGAGCTTCGTCGGAAGCACCCATCTGCTATACACGAGGCGTTGACCTGGCCTGTGCCACCCGAGTCAAAACTGTCCATCACCCATGCCGAGTTTGCTAAGATTCTGGGAAGATGCGAGAACGGAGTGGGGGCCGGACCTTCTGGCACAACATTTGAGCACATGCGCAACGCGGCCACCACTAACGCAATAATCAGCACCCATCTACACGCCTTGGTCAACACCCTGCTGGGGGGGAATTTGCCAGGCCCGGTCGCGAACCTCCTGACGGCGTCGCGGCTGATAGCCCTGGCCAAACCTGGGGGAGGGGCCCGGCCAATCGCGATAGGCGAGTGTTTGACAAGGCTGACAGCCAAGGCAGCCCTGACAGCCATGGGGGAAGCCGCCCGGGAATATTTCCTGCCACTCCAGTACGGCATGGCAGTTCCAGGTGGAGCAGAGACGGTAATCCACACAGCCAGGGCATTCCTGGATGCCCGCCCCAACTGCCTGGCCCTGCAAGCGGATATTTCAAACGCTTTCAACAGTATCTCGCGACAAGCCATCGCCACAGCGTTACACGACCCCAAACTCTCGCCACTGCAACCGTTCGTGAAACTGACCTACGGTAACCCGTCGCCACTGCTCCTGGATGCGAAATTCAACTGCGAACCCTTGCTTAGTGAACGGGGCGTGCGGCAGGGGGACCCACTCGGCCCGCTACTGTTTGCAGCAGGGATACACCCCACGCTCCGCGACACTGCAGAAGCACACCCCGACGTGCTCTGCTTGGCGTATGCGGATGACGTCACCTTCCTGGGTGACCCATCCCGCACTGTAGCAGCCTTCACGCATTTCACAGCTAAATTAGCGCAGCTGAGCCTGACGCATAATCCGCAGAAATGCACGGCGTGGAGTTCAACCACAGTCACACAGACTCAACTTCCGCCCGGGGTGCCGTTTTCCAAGGACGGAGTACGGCTTCTAGGTAGCTACGTTGGGACTGACGCTGGAGCAGCCGGGTTTCTTTCGGGCCAGCTAGAAGGGATGGCTAATCCATTACCGCTGATAGAGCGAGCAGACCCCCAGGTGGCAGCACTGCTCCTCACGCGGTGTATTTCCAGGCGTGTAGCTTACCTCATTAGGACGACTCCCCTCCACCTACTCCCTCGCGCCACCTGGAGCCAGTGGGGAAGGGACTTACTCATTACCTTACTCACCTCATGCGACATCCGCGCGCCAACGTGTGGCGCCGAGCAAAAGCGTGTCAGGGAACAGGCGTCATTGCCGACGTCGCTGGGCGGTATAGGCATAACGGACCCGCTCGTAGAAGGGATCTACGGTTTCACAGCGAGCTTCACCCAAGCGGCGCTTTTTCTTTCCTCCCTCGCGCTAGAACCAGAAAGTGCGTTGACGTTGGCCAAAAACCACATGGTGGCGCCCCGGGATGACAGCACCCCCCTACACTCGTGGCTCACGGAGTGCGAAGCAGCCCTGCCTCTCGACGCGCGGGAGATCCTGGAGAAGGAGCGGTTAGTGCGATCGGACGTTAAGCTTCAGCACGTGCTCGGCTTGAAGGTGCACGGAAGCAGATACGCAGCGCAGGTCCAAGCAACTAGGCACATGCAACCGAACCCTCTCTTGGGCCATACGCAGCGGATGTTCTCGCTGACTGGATACGGCACCGGAGACTGGCTGACTGCGATCCCAATCGAGGCCACTAGACAAATAGGCCCTGTGCACTTCGCGAACGCCGTGCGATTTCGGCTGGGCCTCCCCTTTTCCACGCCTAAGAACTGTGACTGCGCAGAATAGACAGCTATCACAGATCCCCGCCTCCCGAACCATCTCCTCCGCTGCGGCACGGGCAAGCATCGCATTAATACCCACAATGAGCTGCGGGATGCGTGCATTAGCATGGCGCAGCACGCAGGTTTCATCGTTCACAGCGAGTCGGCTGTTTTCTGCCCCATCGAGGAACAAACCGCAGATTTCACCATGACGGATAGAAGCAGTGGGGCGGTTTACGTTTGTGAAGTCACCGTCACCGACCCTATCAGCACGAGGGACCGGGAGGCAGAGAAAGGCAGGGGCTGGGCGGCTCGGGAACAGGCTGATAAGAAAATCAAGCACTATGCCAACCGGCCAGAGACAGTGGGTTTTTTCCCACTGGCGGTAGACACCTATGGCTGTCCATGCGCGGAGGTACCTGTCTTCCTAAAACTACTTGCGGATACTACGGCTCGGCGGCATTTCAACGCCGACTCAAAATCCTTTTACGCCACCAAGTTTCTGCACCTATTTCGGCAGCGCTGGTCTGTGGCCCTTCAGAGGGCCCAATCGGTTGGTCTTCTTCTCAGGTTGGGCGAGGCGGCGACAGCAGAGAACCCGCCCGTAGGAGGTATCGGTCAGGAGCTTCACCCGGGGGACTATTTTGCGGTGGTTGAGCCCTATCTAGAGCTTTAGAGGAGGAAGTGTGTAGGTAGCGTTATGTTGCGGTTGCTGTTTTGTTCTAGAATCTCAAAAACCTGCATGCATGTACTTTGCAACCCTATCAATACAAGGACCGTTAGAGAGAGAGAGAGAGAGAGAGAGAGAGAGAGAGAGAGAGAGAGAGAGAGAGAGAGAGAGAGAGAGAGAGAGAGAAAGAGGGACATGATAGAGGACCGCCCCGTGAAGGACCGTGGGCACGTTGTACGGCTCATCAGTCTGCAAGGGGTGGGGGTGGGGGACTGGCTCCATGCCATCCCAACGAGATCTGACCTTACATTCGCCCCTGGTCAGTACTCGTTGGCACTTGGCTTCCGCCTCGGTATGTCCCTTCCAGTCACAGTGACCTGCCCGTGCAAGCGCGACAACATAGCTATCACAGACACGAGCCTAGCGAACCACCTCTTACGGTGTGGGTACGGGGGAGATGTCATCCGCACACAGAACGCTCTGGTGTACGCCTTGCTCCGGATGGCAAAGGAGGCCGACTTCACTGTTTTCCACGAAACCACAACCTTCTTCCCACCGGTGATAAGGAAGAGAGGAGATATTGCCATACGAGACAAGGAGTCGAATGAAACCTGGGTCACGGATGTGACAGTGACTGACCCAGTGCTGCAGTGCCGCGACAAACGCGCCCGGAAACCACCTGGATGGGCAGCAAGGGAGGCTTCAGAGAAGAAAAGCAGGATCTATGAGGGGCGGCCTGATTATGTAGGCTTCTTTGGGTTGGCAGTGGAGACGTGCGGTGCCCTAGCTACGGATACACAGCAGTTCATCCGCCTGCTAGAAACCTCGGAGGCAAAGAGGAGGTTCCGCCAGGGGAATCTCACCACTACCACTGCTCGGCTCACCGCTCACTATAAACAGCGCTTCAGTTTCATGCTCCAGCGCTCATAGGCCACGTCCTTCCTGAACAAGTCCAACATAGGGGACGTGGCAACCTTCTCACAGTCGGCTAGGGACCCCTGGGAACCTGGCCTAGGGGACCTCTGGCAAGTCCTCGAGGATGAGATGGAAGGGGTGATGGGTCAGTAAGCGGGATAGCCGTGGGATAGGGGTCTAGCTGCAGGTTAGCCACCTGCATTGCCGGTTTTCCCTTGCCTTGCCTTCCTTGCCTTGTTTCCCTTGCTGTGTTTTGCCTTGCCTTGTTCGCTCTGCCTTGCCTTGCCTTGCCTTCCTTGCCTGGTATACCGTGCCTTCCCTCCCCTGCCTCCCAAGGTCCTGACCTGCCGGTACCGTTGGTTTGCTAGCCTGGCCTTCCTCTGGCTGCTCGATGTGCCTGCCTTGCCCTGCCTTGCATAACCGGTTGTTCATAGGACTAGGTATGTTTTGCACCTGTTCTTGCCATGCCTGTAACTCTATGAACCTATCAATGAAGGACAGCTTGAGAGGGACATAGCCTCTGCCCTCTCCCTTAGCCCTCTGCCCTCTAGTTCCCTAGATATAAGAGGCCTCTCTTGGCCTCTCTCTCTTCATTCTTCAGATTGTTGGCTAATTTTTTTGGCTCGCGCCGGATCCATCTACCTACTAGCAAAGCCATGGATCAAGGGCATGCGGATCCTACATCTGATCCGCATCAAGAACGGCAAGAAGGCCCGTCAACGAGCGATGAAGCTTGCGCACCGCCACTGTGGTTGCGCCGATCAAGTCGACTGCAGTCCCTGCGCGCAAAAACCGCCGCATACCACGGAGAGCAGTCCCAAGCTGTCCAACGCCCGCAACTCCACCCCTCGCGGGCGCAGCCAACATGGGCGCCAGGAGCTCGGCAAGTCGATCAGCGGCATTTAGGCACTCGTCCCGAGGGCCGCCATCCAAAGAAACACCCTGGGAAAGAGCCGCGTGACCATACACCTGAATCAGGTGAACAGCCTGCAGACCCTCAGAGAGGCGCCACAGTTGCCCCTGAGACGCCTCCGGCACCTCTGCTGAAGGACGGGGCCCCACCAACGTCTGTACCGGCAGCGCAGCAGCCGGAGGAGCACGACCTACGGGCAGGAGAGACGGATATTGCACCATCACGGGTCCTTCTTCCACGGTCACGAATTCAATTCCCGCCACAGGAGGAATCCACAGCAGCCGCATGCAATTCCCAGGAGCGGCAGCAGACGCAGCGGGAACAAGGGGAGGAGGAACATCTGACCGGGGAAGAGGAGTTGCAGACGCATGGGCCGCAGCAGGAGGAGGAGACGCATGAGTTGGAGCGACGTGCGGCAAGTTGCTCTGGCTCGCCTACCCGTTCCGCTCCTCGCGCACCGCAGCAGAAACAACACGTGGCAAATCGGCCATCGACACCGACTGATCATATTCCCAGCCGCCACCACGACCACGCCCTCCCCACCAGCCACCGCGACCACCACGTGATGCAGCCCAGTTTTCCTGGGAACCACGGCGCTGAGGAGAGTCGTGTCGCCGCCTCGACCTCTCTCGCTCGTCACGTGGCGCAGAGGAGTGAGGCCGATGCTGTCGGCGGCCTGGAGACGAGGGGCGCTGAGTCGGCGGAACAGCAGCAGACGATGCAGGAACCATCGGCGCGGTGGCGCCCCCTGACTCCCCAGGGCCTGGGCCGCCAGTGGTGGCTGACACCGCCTGCGGCGACGAACCAACGGCAGGGTTCGACGCAGCAGGGGCAACGGCGGCAGGCGGCAGAGCAGGGACAGTGGGGACAGACGGGGCACCAACAGGAACATGGGGGGTCCAGAACAGCCACCGGAGCAGGGGGGTCAGGCCCCGGGCACACAGGGGCAGGCGGAGCAACGAGGGGAGCCGCCGGAGCGTCCACCGCCTGAGAGCCCTCATGAGCACCGAACGGCGCAACAGGATCCTCGGGTGCGAGGGGACGAGGGATTTCAGCGGCTGTTGGCGCGGGCCTCGAATCTGGTGGTATAGGGGGCTTCGTCGGGATGGTCACCTTTTCGCGCTCCGACCGGGGCCTGCCGATGACAGCCTACGGCGCGGCAGCGAGCACTGGCGACAGCTCAGACGCACCGGCGATCACCATCGCGGGGGAGAGGAGACCGAGGGGTCGGGAGACAGGAGGCTAGCGGAGTTGGCGGAGGGCCGGAGAACGGGTACCAGGCAGCAGCGCGTAGGGCTTTAATCGACGAAGGGGTAGCTAATGATGCATATGAAAGAGCCGACCCTACTTATAGGGAAGAGCCACTCCCCGCCAGTGAAAGTTATAGCTCGGATGAGGCGAAAGGAACCAGGAGGCTGCCGAGGAGAACGGAGCAGATGCAGGCCAAGGTGCCTCGACCAGGCCGGGGGCTGAAGGAGGACCGTCCGTTGGCGATCGGACGGCCTCAATTCCAACCATTTCTCAGGCGACGAGATCGAACCGCCCTCGCGGAAATCGAGCCACTCGGGACGAATCCACGTTGCGGTATAATCCACAAAACCCCCGCTATTTTTCGCCAGAAGAACTGGTGAGGCGAACAGACAAGTTCGTCGGCATTGCGAACTGGGACATCTCGGCGCTCTACGACAGTCATCAGCCACCTCTGTCACGGCGTTTACCGCCAAACCTGTGTCAGCTCTTTTCGCTGGCACTTCTCACCCCGCTTCTCCACCTGTCGCAAAACCCTGATTCGGAAGCAGGCTGGCGACTGATGCTTTTTCTCCCGCGTCTCACACTTCGCCAAACCTCGCCCAAATGACCTAACTGGCCACAAGTCAAGGCTCGGCTTCGCTTGTTCCAGCACGGCGAATGGGAACAGTTATACACCGAGGCCGTGGAAGCGGACGACTCTCCACCCCCGCCACGTCACCAGCCAAAAGAGACAGGAGTCATCAACCGAGCCGAGGGTCTCGCAAAACGTGGCAGTCTGCGCCGAGCCATCTTGGCCCTGGAGTCAACGCCCGTCTGCACGCCAAGTCCAGATATTCTGAACGAGCTTTCGCCAGAAACACCCGCCAGCCGGAACCGAGACGCTGACCTGGCCAGCCACGTAAGCCACGAACCTGACCATCGCTCACGCTGAGTTCGTCAAAATCCTGGGTAGGTGTGAAAATGGCGTAGGCGCCGGACCGTCAGGGACGACATTCGAGCACCTGCGCGACGCGGCGATAACCAACGCATCGGTCTGTACCCACCTACACGCCTTGGTGAACACAATGCTCAGAGGAAAACTGCCACCGCCCGTAGCAGAACTATTGACAACTTCGCGCCTCATAGCCCTGGCCAAACCTGGAGGGGGTGCCCGACCAATAGAAATAGGGGAATGCCTGACTCGACTGACAGCAAAGGCAGCGCTGACTGTCATGGGCGAAGCTACCCGTGAATATTTCCTCCCTCTGCAGTATGGAGTGGCGGTGCCAGGTGGAGCGGAGGCAATCATCCACACTGCCCAAGCCTTTCTAGACGCGCGTCCGAACAGCCTGGTACTGCAAACGGACATCGCGAATGCTTTCAACAGCATTTCGCGGCAAGCGATCGTTGAGGCGTTACAAGAACCCAACCTCTCGCCTCTACTCCCGCTCATCCAGCTAACCTACGGTAACCCGTCGCAACTATACCTGGATGCCAATTTCAGGAGCGAACCACTGAAAAGCGAACGTGGTGTTCGCCAAGGGACCCACTCGGCCCGCTGCTTTTTGCCGCCGGAATACACCCTGCACTTCGAGAGATAGCCGCTGCACACCTCGGGGTGCTCTGCCTTGCCTACGCGGATGACGTCACATTTCTGGGGGACTCTGACGCAGCTGTAGCCTTCTTCACCCACTTCACCGACAAGCTCATGCTGCTTGGGCTCACGCATAACTCGGGTAAATGCGCAGCGTGGTGCATCGACGATACATGCACGCCAATGTTACCTCCAGGAGTGCCATTCTGCATGGAAGGGGTCCGTCTCTTCGAAAGCTATTTGGGACCCCCTGCCAGCACAGCCAAATTTCTGGCTGCACAACTCGACGGGATGACGAAGCTGCTACCACTGCTGGAAAGGACAGAACCCCAGGTGGCCTCGTTACTTTTGACCCCCTGCATCTCCCGCCGCGTAGCGTACCTAATACTACTAGCGCGCGACAAGTGGTCCCAGTGGGGCTAGGACCTCTTGGTCACCTTGCTAACGGCATGTGGCATCCGAGTCCCCACTAGCCTGACGGAGCAGACGCGGGTGTGGGCTCAGGCGTCGCTTCCGCCCTCGCTCGGAGGGATCGACCTCACACATCCGACCGTCGAAGGAGTCCACGGATTCCTTGCAAGCTTCTGCCAGGCGGCACTCTTCATTGACTCATTGCCGCTGGAAGATGATGATATCCTATCGTCCGTCAGGAATCACATGCTGCTGCCGGGCAACATCAACACGCCGTTACACACATGGCTATCCGAATGCGAAGCGACGTTGCCATTAGATGCCCACGAAGTGCTGGAGAAGGAGAGACTGGAGCCGAAGGGTATTAACTACAGCATGCATTAGCACTATAGGTCCAGGGGAGTAGATTTGCAGTCCAGGTGCAGGAAACAAGGCATATGCGGCTGAATCCACTCTCAGGGCATACGCAACGGATGTTCTCCCTGACAGGTTACGGGACCGGAGACTGGTTAACGGCAATTCCGATCGCATCAACCCGTCGCATTGGCCCCACCCACTTTGCAAACGCAGTTCACTTCAGGCTCGGCTTACCCTTCTCAACACCGGTGAACTGTGTCTGCACGGAGCATGTCGCCATAATGGATCCACGCCTACCAAATCACCTTTTTCGCTGCGGTACGGGCAAGCATCGCATCAACACCCACAACGAACTCCGTGACACCAGCATCAGCATGGCCGAAGACGCAGGCTTCATAGTACATGGAGAATCGGCTGAGTACTGCCCCGTCAAGAAACAGACCGCAGATTTCACCATGCGGGACAGGAGCAGTGGGGCGGTGTGGGTGTGTGACGTCACAATCACTGACCCCATCAGCACCAGGGATCCCGAGGCGAAGAAAGGCAGGGGATGGGCGGAACGAGAGCAGGTCGACAAAAATTGTGAAGAAACGAGGAATGATTTGACTAGTGTGAGGTTGGGTACAAGTACAAACCCTAGAAATATTGTACCCCATATGTGCTACCCCACTATAGCCTACACAGGCTAAGTCATATAAATCTGACACACCCCCATAGGCAAAGTGGGGGAGAACAAGGGGTCACAAGACCAGTCAAGCAAAGCAAAGCAAGCTCAGGGTGGATCACAACGTCACCACACATTCTGAGCACAAGTTCAAGGCCAACAGGCCAGTTTACATGCAAGATCATATATAAGAGTAAACAAGCAAGTGCAGGTATAGACAGATCACAGTACAAGCAAGGTCAAGAAGTGAGCAAGTGAGGCCAAGTAGGCACAAGACCTAGCATCGTACAAAAGCGCTGAAGATCACAAGGTTGAAGTGCCTTGGTAAAGATATCAGCAGTGTTGGCCTGAGAGGCCATGTAAGCAAGGCGCAGCTGACCACGCTGCTGCAGCTCACGAGCAAGGAAGTAGCGAAGAGCAATGTGCTTCGTTCTGTGCTCCAGTCTGTGCTCCCGACACAAGGCCAGCATGGCCTTGTTGTCTACGTACAGAACTGGAGGAGAACGAGGCGGCTCTCCCAGGTCGGTCAGCAGGTAGGTGAGCCAGCGTAACTCCTGTGCAGCCATGGCCCCTGCGTAGATCTCAGCCTCACAGCTGGAGCCGAGAACAGAAGACGAACGGGTAGACCGCCACGAAACAGAGCCAGAACCAAGGCTGAAGGTGTAACCCTGTGACGACCGCTGCGTAGCCTGGTCGTCAGCCCAAGAAGCGTCTGCGTGACCTGTGAGGACCACTGAACGCCGCCCTCCAAGCACTAGCCCCATGCCCGACGTACTGCACAAGTAGCGCAACACCCTCTTCGCAGCAGCCATGTGCTCTGGTCGGTGTCTCCCAGGAGCAACATAGCGTGCCAAGATGCTAAGAGGGTATGCAAGGTCAGGTCGTGTGCAGGTCATCAGGTACATGAGGCAGCCAACAAGCTCTGGGTACGGGCCACTCGGCTCTACGGACTCATCCGAAGGCAGAGCTGAGAGCGAGTGGCGAGTAGACAGAGGAGTGGCCTGAGGCGAGGAGTACGTGAAGTCGAAGCGCTGAAGGACCTGCTGCACCATGTGTGATTGAGTCAGGGTGATGGTGCACTGTGCTCTGTCCCGAGTGATCTGCAAGCCAAGGTAGCTGCGCAGTTCACCCAGGTCTGTGCACGTGTGTCTCTTCTGCAGCTCGGACTTCACGTGGGCGAGTCCAGCAGTGTCAGCAGTGGCAAAGACCAAGTCGTCGACGTACACGAGGATGTAGAACGGCGGCAAGGAGGTGTCAGTGCGCAGAAACAGCGACGGGTCGGCAGTAGCAGGAGCAAACCCAAGAGCCGCAAGTGTAGTCCTCAGTGTGTCGTGCCACTCATGAGGCGCCTGGCGGAGACCGTAGACTGGCCGCCGGAGGCTCCACTGGGTACCAGGAGGAAACGACCCAGTGAAGCCAGGTGGGCGGCGCAGCCAGATCTCCTTGTGCAGGCTGCCCTGCAAGAAAGCTGTGCTAAAGTCAAGAGAGTGAAGCTCGTAGTCACGCTGAGCGGCTATGTGTAGCAGCACCCGAAGAGTGGTCATCTTCGGGGTGGGAGAGAAGGTCTGAAAGTAGTCAACTCCATGCCGCTGACTGAAGCCTCGAGCCACGTAACGCGCCTTGAAGACAGGCGGAGAACCCGGCGGCCGCTTCACCCTGAAAATCCACATGCCACTGACGATGTTTGCCCCAGGTGGGGGAACCTCGTCGACGTAGGTGCCTGTGGACTTCCAGGAAGCCATCTC